AGCAGAGTTTGAGGGGTGTCGGTATTCTTCTTGAAAGGGCTTCAGGTGTGGGTGTGTCGAGTGAGAGTCTTGTGATAGGTCAGGTGTGGGTCACAGGTGTAGATCTTCTGATGGGTCTTGTGATGGGGAGGCCATGTCAGGTGAGGGTCTTGTGATGGGTCTAGTGATGGGTTTTCTGATGAGTCAGTTGTGGGTCACGGGTGAAGATCTTGTGATGAGTCTTGTGATGCTCACTTGCTGGTTTGGGGGAGTTGGGGTGGGTTGGCTGAGGGTTGGTGTCATCACTGGTTGGCTGCGCAGTCGATTTGAATTCTGAACGGTTCGTAGGCCAGTTGTCTGCATCATCCAGGTCATGATTGTCCCAAAGGTGTATTTCCAAAAGACAACTGGACTTTCTTGGTTTTTAAACTTTCTTGATCGCCATGATGTAAAAAAAATGTTGTGTTTCTAGAAAGAGTGCAGAGAAGAGCTAAGATGATTAGGGGACTGGAGGCTAAAACATATGAAGAATGGTTGCAGGAACTGGGAATGTCTAATTTATTTATTTATTTATTTATGAGACTTATATACCGCTTTAAGTGCAAGCACTCTCTAAGCGGTGTACACCAGTAAGCAATGTATACAATCTGGGTCCTCATTTTACCTACCCCGGAAGGATGGAAGGCTGAGTCAACCTTGAGCCGGTGAGATTTGAACTGCTGACCAGCTAAAGTGGCCTGCAGGACTGCACTCTAACTGCTGCGCCACCTCGGCTCATCCTAATGAAAGAAAAGGACCTTGGGTGAAATGATAGCAGTGCTCTGATATCTGAGGGGCTGCCAGAAAGAAGAGGATAGCTTGACTTGCTCTTCTTTGTGGCAGCCCCTGAGATATTGGAATCACGTCACCCCTAGTCCCTTTTGTTTTGTAAGACTGAAGATGGTGACCCTGAAGACACAGATAAGCTTCCAGGTAGCTTGAACGACTCGCAGAAAGAATCCAAACGACCAGCTGCCTGCAAGGAAGAGAAGTCCTTTCATTGCCCACCATCCAGTCAGAGCTGAAGAAGCTTCTTGGGTGAGAAGCGAAACGTCTTCAAAGGAAAAAGCAAAGAAGCAAAAAAGTCCCGTTGCCTCGTGAAAAAGCATCTTTGGGATAATGACCTGTATATTTCTTTTCTTGGATGAAAACCGTTAGTTTGGCCATCACCGCAAGCTCCATCAGTTCTCTAATCCATTGGAGCTTTTTCACCTCTGGACTGACAGTCTCTTCTGAAAGGGGGAAAGAATCTGATTGGTCCAAATCTATTTTTTCCACCTCTGCAGAAGTGCAGGAGAGATATGGAGGGCGCTCATTGAAGACCCCGTTTTAAAGCGAAAAATTCAAAGAGCCCTGCAGAAAAGGCTACAAGGGAAGCGCTGTCGATGGCTGTAGACCCTGGGATACAAACACTCTGTTCCCAGGGTCCAATTATGTCGCTGGCGGGCCCATCAGGGCTGAATGCCACCCTGGAGGTGAATTCTTTGAAGAAACCAAAATAGCGTCCGGAACCGGCGAGAGAAAGGCGGAGAGCTTCGCGTTTGCCACCATTTCCAGCAGATCATCGGAGACAGGAGTCAGCAGTTTCAGGAAGCAAGCAACCGGTCCAGGTGAGACGATATTAGTTTTTGTTGCAAAGTGGACCATTGAGAAAATTGCCTGCCTTTAAAGCAAAGCTGGAAGCTTAAAGGGAGGAGGAGGGGGGGAGTTTTGCTTCTTCCTCACCCCCCGAAAAGCAGCGGTTTCAGCGTTTTAAGACTTTTGAAAACTTTTTGAACTCAAGCTGAATTGAAGGAATCCGCCTGTTTTATTATAGAGGGAAAGAAGACCTACTATTATTATAATTGGGAAAAGCCACCTTAACTGCTTTTTTTTAGTATTTTTTAGAATGTTCGTTTTGTATATTTATGTGAAACTCTCTCTTTTTTTACTTTCTCCCTATGTAGGTGAGGAAAGAAACAGCGTCCCCTGATGGTTATTTTGCAATTTTTTTCCTTTGTTCCTTTTTTTTCACACTATCTTTGTTGATTCAGCTGTGGAGTTTGGCTCAATGCCCAGACACTTTTCTCTCTCTGGGAGATTACTAAGAGAGACTGCTTTTCTTTTTTGCTCTGTGTCTGGTTCCCTTTTTCCACCTCTGCAGAAGTGCAAGAGAGATATGGAGGGCGCTGGTTGCAGACCCCTATGTTAACAGGAAGATGATGAGACCCCTCCTGAAAAGGCTCCAGGACAAAGAACCCGTTTCAGAAACCAACGGCAGGTGAAACAGCCAATCGATCATGCCAATTGCGGTAAACCGTCAGCCAGTGTTTTCCTTTTGTCTAGACGTGGGGCAGGGCTGGTGGAAGGGGGAAGGGCTGAGCAGAAGGGTCACCTCTGGTGGCCTCCCCCTCAGAGTGGGTGAGAGTCAAAAGAGCAGGCTTGCCCTGGTGGGAGGGAGGCAGTGGGCAAAGTGGGGGGCGGAAATTGGAACAAAATTTGGGGTAAGGCACCCCCCAAAAGACCCCCCTAAAAGTTGAAGCATCTGCGGGCTTCCTTGCCAGACGCAGAGCAGCTTTGGTATCCATCCATCCATTCATTGGCTCATTCATCCATCCATTGTTTCATTTATTCATTAATCCACCCATCCATCCATTGATTGGTTCATTCATTCATCCATCCATCCATTGATTGGTTCATTTATCCATCCCATCCATCATCCATCCATCCATTTCTTCATTCGTTCATTTATTCAACCATTCATTCATTCATTCATTGAGAAAACCTATATGGTTGCCCAACTCACTCTTGGTAATTCTGGGTGACTTACAGAAATAACTAAGAAAAGTTTGATTTAAGAAAATACATGATAGAAACCAGCAAACCCAAACACCTGAACGTTGTGTCTTGTTTCAAATACTTTTAGTCTGTGTTTTTATTCATGTGTTTATATTGTTTTATTCCGTTGTTCTAAACTGCCCTGTGTCAATTAGCTGAGATGGCTGGTATAGAAATTAATTAAGACAAAGAGAAGAAAATATTGGTAGCTCAGGGTAGATGTGAGGTCCTTGGTGCTCTCTGAGCTTGATGGTTTTCTTGGAGATGTTTCATTACCCTAACTAGGTAACATCATCAGGGCTAGAAGGGAGTGGGGTTTATGGACTGGAGAAGAAGAGGAAGAAGAAGAATGAAGGGGACTATGAAGTCCTTGGTATCTATGAGCTTTCTTGCAGACGTTTCATTACCCAACCAAGTAACGTGATCAGGAGGAGGAGGAGGACTGTGTGGTCCTTGGTGCTTACTGAGCTTGGTGGTTTTCTTGCAGATGTTTCATGACCCAACTGGGTTACATCATCAATGCTGGAAGAGGGAGGTTCTAAGCTTAACCCTTCTAGCACTGATGATGTTACCTAGCTGGATCATGAAACATCTGCAACAAAAGAATACGCTCAGACAGCACCAAGGACCCCACAAATAAATAAATAAATAAATAACATAAAAGGTGGGGAGTCCAGAGCCCACTTAGGAATGAAAACAAAAAGAGGGACTTCAGATGAGCAATCTCTTTGTCCCCCCCTTCTGTCTCACTTATGCTACTTGTCGTCTCCTTTTTGTTCTGCATCTACACCCCACTGTCCTCTCAAAGTAGAATCTAGTAGAATTTTGCACCGTGTCTCAGACCTGGACATTCCTGGCTCAGTTTTCAGGGACATGAGATTTTTTTTTCCTGGTTTGCCTACATCAAAGGAATTCCACTTTGGGACTTTGTAATCTAAGTCAGGGTTCCCCAACATTTCCGGGTTGACAGCCCGAAGGGGGAAGGGGGAAAAGAGGGGGTCGTTTTGTGGAAGGGGCAGGCACGTGTGCACATGAGTGAGCGTGCAAGAGCAGCCTTTGCTCACGGGAGTGGGGCTGAGAGCACCTGTGATGTTCGCACGAGTGAGGCTCTCAGCGCCTATAAAGCTTGTGTGAGCCCCCACGTGCCCACAATGGCCATGCAAGTGGGGCCCCGAGTCCCCATGACATTTCTGTGAGTGGGGCCTGAGAGCCCATGACACTCGCCTGAGTGAAGCTGTACACGCGCGCATCAGCCAGCCACTCACACAGCCCTTTTGTGAATAGGCCACAGACCGGGGATGGGCCATGGCCCAAGTGATTCTTCTTTCCTCCCGTGTCTAGGCCACCAATGCTCTGTTTTCTCCTCTGGTTTCCCCCCGTTGAATTTGCTGGTCAGAAAGGCGCGAAAGGGGGTCGCCTGACTCTGAGACGGTCATAAATCCGAGTCAGTTGCCAAGTCTCTGAATTCCGGTCAGGTGACCAGAGGGAGGCTACAATGGCCGTCAGGGTGAAAAAGGGCCAGGCGTCCCCTTTTTCAGCAGGGCTGGACTGTAACTTGGAACGGTCAGTAAAAGGAACGGTTGTAAATTACGGTAACTAAGCTCAGCCACAGCATGAATGAAGCTGTACAGACTCGCCCATAAACACTGACCCTGCCGGCCATCCTGGCTTGGTCCAACCATGGTTTTACTGCAAAGCTTTTTGATCAGAGTAGATGGAAGCCCACATCACCATCATACCATATGCTGCAATCCTGGCTAACCGTAAACCTCAATGCTGGTCAGTTGCCTGATAATGGGGCCAGTGTGCCCCAAGCGCACTCAGAGCCTACTTTTACTCCAAGTAAAAGAGGGAGAGAGAGAGAGGGAGGAAGAAAGGGAGAGGGGGAGAGGGAGAGGGAGGGAAGGGGGAGAGACAGAGGGAAAGGGAGGGAGGGAGAGGGAGAAAGAAAGAGGGAGAGGGAGGGAGGGCAGGGAAGGAGGAGGGAAGGAAGGAAGGAAGGAAGGAAGGAAGGAAGGAAGGAAGGAAGGAAGGAAGGCAGGCAGGCTTGATGACCCCAAGTTCTATTTCCACTTTGTGTTGTGGGCAGTTTTGTATACTTCCAACTATCATTTACACTAACATTTGCCATGCAGTATCCTCGACATATGACCATAATGGAACCTCTAACCGAATGCAGCAGTCCTTAAGCCAATGCCCTGGTCGTATATTTAGGATGAACCAGATCTTTTAGTGGTTTCCTTCTACAGGGGGTCCTCGACTTACAACCAGAACTGAGCCCCAAATTTCTGTCGCTAAGTGAGATGGGTGTTAAGTGACTTTTGCCCCATTTTACGACCTTCCTTGCCATAGCCGTTCAGTGAATTGGGCTCCCCCCCCGACCTTGCTCCTCAGAAGGTTGCCAAAGATGATCAGGGGACCCTGGGACACTGCCACCGTCATAAATATCAGCTCCCAAGAGCCCAGATTCTGACCACACGGCCGAGGGGATGCTTTCACGGTCGTAAGTCTGAAAAGGGGGCCTGCGTTCTTGGCTACAGGATGTCTTCTGCCCTGGGTGCCTCTGTGCCCATTTGCCCCACTCGAGTGACCCTGAGGACCCAGGCAAACCTCCGGGGGGCCTCAAGGACTCCCTGGAAGAAGGCCCGTGACCAGCGGCCTGCAAGGGGGACCCATCCTTCCGTTCCCCACCATCCGGTCAGAGCTGAAGAAGCTTCCTGGAGGAGAAGAGAAACGTCTTCAAAGGGAGACAAGAAAGTCCACTTGCCTGGACTTTGGGACAAGCATGACCTGCATGACGGAGAACTTCCATAGACATTTCTCTCCGTAGAAGCGCCCAGGAAAGTTCTTCTGCTGATGCTCAATATCTCTCCTCTTGTTCCTCAGCTCGTGTATCAGGCCCGAGAGTGGAAACGTCTTCACGAGACAAGGCCTTCTGGAGGTTCTCCCTGAAGGGATGATCCAGTCGTAGCATTCGAGGTCTGGGTTACCTTCTGCAGCATCCCTGTGAGGTAAAAGACAGGATGAAGGAAGTCAGGGACTTTCAAGGGAATGGCTGGGCTGACCTCACTCTCTGGGAAGTCTACAGTGCTGGAAAGGGTAGAGGGAGGAGAAGAAGACCATTACCAGAAGGAGGATGGGATGGGGTGGGGTGGGGTGGAATGGAAGAGAAGAGAATATGGAATGGATTGTTGGGGAAGAGAAGAGAAGAGAAGAGAGAATAAAATAAATGAAATAAAATCATTTATCTGAAATGATATCGAACAGGACTCCTGTCAAGAAGAGGGTTGACTAGAAGACCTCCAAGATCCTTTCTGACTCTATTATTCTAAGTGCAGATGTTTATGTGCTTGAAATGGGGCATATTATGGTAAGTTTAACTGTGTAAAATGAAGTGTTTCACTTCAGTTTGCTTTAGCTAGACCCAAAACATGTGATGAACAACTGGGGAACGAGTTAGATCTACTCTAACAACAACAAAAAAAAGGACTAGGATGACCAGAGTCTTTCAATATTTGAGGGGCTGCCGTGGAGAAGAGGGGATCAGCCTGTTCTCCAAAGCACCTGAAGGCAGGACAAGAAGCAACGGATGGAAACTCGTCAAGGAGAGAAGCAACCTGGAACTAAGGAGAAACTTCCTGACAGTGAGAACAATTAACCAGTGGAACAATTTTCCCCCAGAAGTTGTGAATGCTCCAACATTGGAGGTTTTTAAGAAGAGATTGGACAACCATTTGTCTGAAATGGTAGAGGGTTTCCTGCCTAAGCAGGGGGTTGGACTAGAAAATCTCCAAGATCCCTTCCAACTCATTTTATTCTATTATCGCTGCTAGAAGGGAGAGGGGTTTGGGAGGAGGGGAGGAGGAGGAGGGGGAGGAGGGGAGGAGGAAGGAGGAGGGGGGGGGAAATGTCCTTGGTGCTCTCAGCTTGCAGACATTTCATTTCCAATCTAGATGACATCATCAGTTGCCCAGTTTACTAATCAGACTCCTCCCTCACCTTCTAGACTCACCTGAGATTCCACCAGCAGCATGGAGTCCCAACATGATTCCAAACCCAAATCCAAGGGCCGGTCAGAGATAAGAGGATTACTAGATCGACTAGACCTAAATATAAATAATGGAAATGGAAACAGAAACGGAGAAAGAAAATGGAATTTTTTCAGTGAGCATAAATGGACTAAACTCCCCATCAAAAAGAAATAAAGTGTTCAGGAAATTACAGAAATTGAATACAAATATAATTTGTCTGCAAGAAACACATATTAAAGAACAGCACCATAAATTATTGGAATATCCCAAAATTGGGAAACTTTATTATACATTAGCACATCAGAAAAAAGGGGGGTTGCTGTTTACATTAAAGAGACAATAGATTCTAAATTGGTATATTCAGATAAAGAAGGAAGAATCTTAATGGTAGAAATATATTTGTACCAAAAGCAAACACTGCTAGTGGCAATTTATGCACCAAAGAACAATCAAGGAGAATTTTATAAAAACTTACATAGAAAAATAATAGAAATGGAATACCAAAATATTTGCTTAGTAGGAGACTTTAATGCAATAGTAGACGGAAAAATTGACTAACTTGACTAAAAATTGCTTTTAGCAATAAAACAGGAAAAACCAGAAGAAGAAGATTACCCAGGATATATTTTGATATGGCAGAGGAAATTGGAATCCAAGATGTCTGGAGGCAAACCAACCCACAAAAACTACAACACACCTTTTATTCAAACAGTCAAAAATCTTGGTCAAGAATCGATATGATGTAGATCAGTGTTTCCCAAAGTGTGGTACGCGCACCCCCAGGGGTACGGGAAGAGTTTGGTGTGGGTACACGTTGCACCGGAGTTTAGTGGGGATCACGTGGGAATATCCATTGCACCGTGCTTAGCTGCGCCCACAGAACAAAGAAAGAAATAGGCACGTATCGCAGTTTTTACATGGGAACTGGGGCCATCATACATCGTATCGTAACTCATTATGACGGGAACTTCTGCGCATCCTTCGTGCAGCTCTGATTCGGCCATTTTTAAACTGCGGGAACATTAACAGTTAACGCTGAGCCTCGGAGCTGTTTAAAAGCCGGAGAATTGCAGTGTTATCAACGGTTAGACAGTCTTGTGAGGCGTGATCCGGCGTGAATATACTGCACTTCGTTATAGAGACAACTTACTTCTTTAATAGTTAGTTCCGGGTGCCTGTTATCATGCTTTAGTAAGTTCCATTGATTTTGATTATTTTTATAAAATACAATTTTTATCCCTAACAGAGATTATGGATCGCTGGTTGAAATCTGGAACTACTAAACCGAAAGAAAGTAATGATTGTAATAGCAATCAACGAACAGGAAATAATGAAATTAACGACGAATCGACTTCAATTCTGAAAGAACCTGTTAAGAAAAAAGCAAGGAAAACTCGCAAGTACGACAAAGAATATCTTAAATTTGGATTCTCATGGACTGGAGATGAAAATGAGCCTATTCCACTTTGTGTCATTTGTTTTGAAAATCTAACAAATGAAAGCATGAAACCATCCAATTTAAAGCGCCATTTTGAGACAAACCATAATCAGTACAAAGATAAACCCATAGATTTTTTTGAAAATAAGCTTAAGGGTTTAAATCAGTCTGGAAAAATAATGCAGGGTTTGACGGGAGGTGACAATCAAAAAATACTAGAAGTTTCGTATCGCGTGTCACTTTTAATTGCCAAATGTACTGCAGCGGAAACCATTGGCGAAATTTTAATCAAGCCTGCAGCCAAGATAATGGCAGAAGTAATGATAGGAGATAGAGCGAAAGAAACTTTTGACCGCGTTCCTCTCTCAAATAATACAGTTCATCGACGAATCATTGATATGTCTAATAATGTAAAACAGATGTTATTATCTGATATTTCTCAAAGTCGTTATTATGCATTGCAAGTCGATGAGTCCACCGACATTGCGAATTTTGCAAATCTTATGGCGTTTGTTAGATACGAAAAAAATCAAGAAATTCATGACGACTTTTTATTTTGCCAGCATTTATTAGGTCACACAACAGGAGAAGATATCTTTAATGTTATGAATACATTTATGCAAGAGAACAAAATTGATTGGAATAGATGTGTTGGAATAAGCACAGACGGAGCAAAAAGTATAGTCGGAATTAATAAAGGACTCGTTGCAAGAATTCAAAATGTTGCTCCAAATGTCATATCCACACATTGTTGCATACACAGAGAGGCTTTGGCAACACATAAGATGCCCGCTGATCTACAGAAAGTTCTGGATGAAAGCGTGAAAATCATTAACTACATTAAAAGCCGCCCTTTGAATGCATGACTTTTTTTGCAAATATGTGAAGAAATGGGAAGTAGTCAGACCCAGCTGCTTTTTCATACCGATGTTCGTTGGCTATCTCCGGGGGTGGCGCCGCGCATGCGCATGGCGCGTAGGGGTGGCGCCGCGCATGCGCGCCGCGCGCAGGGGGCCCCGCCCCCATGTGCGCCGCGCGCAGGGGCAGCGCCGCGCGGGGGCGGCGTGCGCGGGGCCCCGCCCCCATGCGCGCCGCCGCGCATGCGCATAACATTTGTGTGACGGGGGGCGCCGTCACACAAACGTTGAGAACCGCTGTGCTAGGCTGACAGAAGCGCGAATCGACTGTAGCCTGGCGCTGATCCTGGCACTTCTGCTAAATTAGCAAGCCGCATGTTTCCCAGCAAAGCAGAAGCAAGTGAGCTGGGCAGGAGCTCAGGATCAGGGTGCGCAGCGAAAGCTGATCCGCGCTTCTGCAGAGTAGCCCAGAAGCGCAGATCAGCTGTAGCTGCTCTCCTGGGCTCCTGCCCAGCAAACTTGCTTGAGCTTTGCTGGAAAACATGATGCTTGCTAATTTAGCAGAAGCGCGAATCAGCTGTAGCCAGGAGCTGATCCTGGCGCTTCTACTGAATTAGCAAGCGGCATGTTTTCCAGCAAAGCACCAGCAAGTGAGCTGAGCGGAGCTCTCCTGTGCCTCTGCCTCTGCACATGCACAGCCAGGTTTGGCATGTCACCATGGTCACCGGCAGCACAGCCACCAGCCACGCTGGCAGCCTGTCCCCCTCCCCTTGTCCCTTCCTGGGCATGGAGGGGGGGAAGAAGGAAGAGACAAAGAGGGAGGGAAGGAAGGGACTATAAGAGAGGGAAGAAAGGGACAATGAGAGGGAGGGAGGGAGGGACGGAAGGAGGGAATGGGAGGGAAGGAAGGGACAATGAGGGAGGGAGGAACAATGGAAGGGAGGGAGGGAAGGAGGAAGATACAAAGAGGGAGGGAAGGAGGAAGGGACAAAGGGAGGTGAAGGAAAGGAAGGAAAGAAGGATGGAAGGGACAATGAGAGAGAAGGGAGTGAAGGAAGGCAGGCACCCACCCCAGTCTCATCCCCCTCTACCAGAGACCTGCGGATTTTCCCCCACAGGCACCCTGCAATCTGAATGATCAGCTGGCCACACACCCCCGGCCATTGATCACATGACCCTGGGACACTGTGAACGTCATAAGTATGAATCAGTTGCCAAGCATCCGAATGTAAATCACAAGACGCTGGGGAATGCTGCAACAGTCATAAGTGTGAAAAATGGTCATAATTCGCTTGTAACTTTGAACAGTTACTAAGCGAACTGTTGTAAGTCGAGAACTACCTGTACTTTCTCATTTTTTCCTTTTTTGGGGGGGTTCAAGTTTTTGATACCTTGCTGGTATCAAAAGTGATGGTACTCGGATATTGCCTTATGCGAAAAGGTTGAAAAGCCCTGTTTTAGAGGTGTAGCTATAACATATACGCTAAAAAAAAAAACCAAAGAAAAAAGACAAAAAGATATATTGTTAAGGGAAGAATTTAAAAAGTTAGAATTACAACTACAAATAAATCCACAAAAGAAAATATTGAAAAGACAAATGGAAACAATAAAACATAAATTAAATCTAATGGAATCAGAAAAATTAGCACAGCAAATTAAAAGAGCAAAACCATTTTTTTTGAAAATGCAAATGAACCAGGAAGATGGTTAGCCTACCAACTTAAAAAACAAAAGGAGAAAAACTGATAAATAACTTAGTAGATGAAAAAGGCCGTTTACAATTTAAAAATGAAGAAATAAAAAAGATAATCAAAGAATACCACAAGAAATTGTATGATATAAAACAGGGGTCTCAAACTGCCGGCCCACCGATATCATTACTAAATGTGGATTATAAAATCTTTATTTCAGTAATAGCGGAGAGACTGAAAAGATTTCCAACTCAATTGATACATCCAGATCAAAATGGATTTTTTACCAAAGAGACAAATCAAAAGTAATCTAAGAGTTATAATGGACATATTGGAATATTACAAACTGTATCAAGGGAAACAATTGGCATTAATATTTTTAGATGCTCAAAAGGCGTTTGATAATGTTTCCTGGCAAGTTATGAACCAACAAGTAGAAATAACGGACCTTGGACAAAACTTTAGAAATATAATTAAAACAATACGCTACAAACAAACAGCGAAAGTGATTGTAAATGAAGACTACACAGAGAACTTTGAGATAGGAAAAGGTACAAGATAAGGATGTCCATTATCTCCATTGTTATTTATCTTAACTTTGGAAGTTTTAAATAGAAATATTAGACAAGATACAGAAATCAAAATGAATTTGGATATAATAATGCTACAAGAAGTCCACATAAAAAAACATCAACATTTACTAAATTGCCCCAAATTGGGGAACATGTTCGCAGCACTTTCACAACAAAAAAGGAGGAGTTGTAGCATAGACCAAAGAGGAAATTTCGGCAAATCAAATTTATAAAGATGAAGATGGTAGGATTCTAATAATAGAAGTAATATTGAACAAAACAAAAATAGCCCTTGTGGGAATTTATCCCCGAATGAAGGGCAGAAACAATTTTATAAAAAAACTACATAATATTATTAGTAAATTTGAATATGATAATATTTGTATAATGGGAGATTTCAATGCAATTGTGGATAGACATCTAGATTATAAAAGCGGTAAGATTAGAAAAGGAATTAGAGGAACACTACCTAGTACCTTCCTAAAAATGGTAGAGGAGTTTAATATTCAGGACATTT